AGCTCTGTTGCGCAGGAAATTTACTATATAAGACTGAAGTTTCAAGGCGACGAGTTAGTTTGTGTCAAGCAGCTGTCGAGGTAACATCTCTCCCGACGGCAAGTGAAAGTGATTTTTGTGTAATAAAGTGACTTGTAATTAAGTGAATTAAGTGACGTGTGTGATACCCGATAAAATACGGTTTTTTTTAAACGGTCTGTGTTTTGAAAAATCGGCCCCGGTCTCCTGCGCAGCTCTGTTGCGCAGGAAATATACTATATAAGACTGAAGTTTCGAGGCGACGAGTCAGTTTTTGTCGAGCAGCCGTGGAGGTAACATTTCTCTTCCGAAGGCAAAGTGAAAGTGATCTTTGTGTAATTAAGTGACTTGTGTAAATTTGTTAAATCTAATTTTTTATCGCGCCTTGTGTGAAAAACGTTTATTAAACGACCTTTTTATTGACGTGTGTGATATTTAAAAAAAACCGTTGTTTTTAAACGGTCTGTGTCTTGAAATATCGGCCGCGGTCTCCTGCGCAGCTCTGTTTCGCAGGAAATTTACTGTATAAGACTGACGTTTCTAGGCGACGAGTCAGTTTGCGTGGAGCCGCAGTAGAAGCAACATTTATCATCGACGAGGTTAACGAACATCTTGGTTTCTTCAACTGAATGATAAGTCTAAAAATATTGTCCTTTCCCTTAATTCCGTTTGCAACACTCAGTGTGGAATAAATTTAATCCGGGAGCACATCAGCTGATCGGCTGCTAGCAGAGAACTTATATTTACTATAATTGATTGCGGGTAAAAATTGGCGAGGATTCTACTTGTAAAAAAGAGAACGGCCGAAAAGTGAAGTTGCTTAAAACGACCTTTGATTCGCTGACACTATCGACGAAGCCCGACGCGACCTGACTCTATAGGAGCTCCTGTGCTGCTAATAACTGTCAAGAGCCAGTTATTACTTGAGTAACTTTAAAATTCGAATGAAAAGTTGACGCGCGCGAAGCGCGTTTGAAACGTACCATTTCTGAACTATTTCTGAATCTTAAACTAACCTCAAATAACAAATAAAAAAATTGATACGTGCGGAGCTCTTCTTAAACGTCTAGTGTTTGTAAAAGATCGTCCTTCATTCAATACAGGCCCAATCGGGGGGAATACTTTTTTCAAATTCTTAGTGGATGAAGACTTAAAATCATTTTTGACTAGGCACAAGTTTTGATCGATTTTACCTTTGACGTTGCAATTTCGGCACGTCAGCCCCTCGCTTGCCTTCTACGAGACGAGGACAAACACCGTCTAACTTTTTCGTTGAATACGTCGGTATCTCTTACAAAAAATCATTTAGTACCGTGAACAAGCGAAGCGATTCAACGTTCAGAGTGCCTCTTCTATTTAAGTTTCTTTTTTGACAGAGATTATGTGTGTGCTGAATTCTCGCGAAATCCCGAGCTAATAATCATTTAACTATGCCCTTGATTTCAAGCTGCTCGACTATATACATTCATAGAGAGTAAGAGCGAAAGAAGACGAAGAAAAACAAGGAGAGAAGAGAAACAGGCTGAGATACGAGCGAACGGATCACTCGCATGTATTATGTACGTCAATCACCAGTACATGTAATATATACACATGGATGCACGTGTGCAATCGTCATCATGCATAACATTGCACATGCTTCATACTCGCGGCAACGAAAAAAATCTATATAGCGCTATATAACGAGCGAGCGAGAGAGCGACCGATGCGGAGCGGCGATTCACGAGAGGAGGGGCACACACATCTTGTGCGTTTTGTGTTATAAAATAATGCGCACACGCGCGCACGGACACACATAACTATATAACTTAGTCGTGGAAGTAGTGGGATCATCGAAGCAGCTATATGGTATAAGAGAAAGAGAGAGAGGAAAGAAAACAAACGGCGCGCATCTTAACGGCGGCACAGCAGCAGATATTTCATGCACCAGCGCCGAAGACGTAACGCGCGCATATAATATAACAGAGACTCGTCGGACACCGTCCAGTGGATAGTGTCTCGCGCGTATTTTTTTTTTTTTTTAATCACACACGCGTTCGTCTGTTTATAGTAATTTGTTGTGGTAATGCGAGCGTGAGTGAGTTAGTGATTGTTTATCGTTGATAATTTTTTCATTCATTGATAAGCAGGGCGTGTATTGTATCAAGATTATATTAATTCATCAACGATTGAAAGTAGCGGCCACAGGTAACTCAACCAATAATTGCTATTAATTCAAATACATATAACGATCGTTTCGTATAATTGGTCCTAGAATAAGCCTCTAATTACGCATGCATCCTCGGCTCGAAAATATTTTTTTAACTTCAGTAAAAAAAAAAGGAAAAACAAGCGGCACAAGACACGCATACGTCCGTGCCCGTAAACGGGCTTGCTTTGCATTCGGAACGCAAATCGCGCCATCGACTCCAATGAAATATGTATTACATGTGTATACCTCGGCGAACGCCGTGTGTCTATGTGCGCGTGTGTCTCTCTCTCTGCAGCAGTAGTTATTTCAAGGCCGATTTATAACAAAACTAATTAAAAAGCAAAGTCGCGCGCGCGGCGCATTCCTCCGCTGAACCGATACTACTTTGTTTCGTTTGAATCTACTTATTATTGTAATACGAGTCTGTGTAGTGTAGCAAGTACCACTGGCTCGAGGACTCATCGATGATAATGAGGGTAATTAACGCAGGAATCGATGCGTCACACGCAGCGGCGGCGGGAAACCGCGTAATTTAATGGACGAATTCAGATTTTTTACTCTGATGGATAATGTCCATTCTTAAAAATGTGTACACCCAGTCATACTCGCTCGATTGAAAAATTACGCGCGCGCGTCCGCGCGAGAGATTCGTATGTGAGATATTCCTTAGTGCGTTAAAGGCGTGTTGCCTATAATTTATTTCTTGATGCACTCGGCAGACGAAGAGGAGAGTGGAGAGAGAGAGAGAGAGAGAGAGAGAGAGAGAGAGAGAGAGAGAAAAGAAAGATGCCAATTCAGAATAGAGTCAATCGCAACTATGAATCATAACTCTCGTTGCATCTTTCTCTGCGTGTCTCGTTTTCTTGGTAACATTATACGCGTATTACGTAAAGAATTTCGCTTTTAGCGATCAATTGTGCGCGTCTGTGGCCTGTATGCGCTAATGTACGTGGTTTTTTATTTTTCATTCCTTTCAGAAACATTTTTCTCGCCGTCGTTCCGTAGACCATGACGAAGGAAAAAGAAGAACAGCAAAAGCAGGAGATGCAGAAGAAGCAGCAGCAGCAGTCACCAGAAGCACCAGCAACTGTAGCTCAGGCGTCCGAGCAGCAGCAGCAGCTGAGCGACGATGAGCACGATCCTCATCATCACCATCATCATCATCGTCACAATTTAAAATCGCAACCGAGCCCACTCGCGATCGCCGCGAGCGTATTGACGCATTTGCTATTGTTGCTGCCGGTTTTGTACATCGTGGGATTGGCTTTCGAAAGCTACAGCTTCTTTTCATGGCATCCGATATGCATGTCCCTCGGCGTGAGTATTACGTTATGTTACACACACATGCGCGATTAATAATAGTAATAATAATAATAACGATGATATTTTAATGGTCAGGTTGTCGAACATTGTTATTAGCGCCGCGCACCGTCACGGTGTCGAGATGCGCGTTGCGTGCTATATTTTATGCGCTCACGGGGCAATATATCGATAATTCAACACGCTTTTATAACGCGAGAAGTTATGCGCTCATTATTGAACGGTTTATCTTTCGCATTTTTTTCCGCGCGCGACTATTGTTCGTAATGAATTCGTAATTCAATCAACGGGGGGGAAATATTTTTTCATAATATAAAATTGTCTCTGTTCCAAACAAATGACACGATCTAATAGCGAATGATCATTCATTTTTCAGGCCGGCCTCGTTATCATGGAAGCCGTCTACTCCATATCCGGCGTGGCGTTAATATCGAAGAACTTCGGGCGTACGCTGCGAGTCCGACTGCACTGGATGCTGCATCTGCTCGGGATATCGCTCCTCGTGGCTGGCCTGGTGATCGTCATCCTGAGCAAGAACGACGAGGGTCGGGATCACTTCGTCACGACGCACGGCCAGCTGGGCCTCTCGACCATCGTGATCACCTGCGCGGTGGCCTGCTTCGGTATGCTGGCCAACAACGCCAAGTGGTTCTATCCGCGGGTGCGGCCGGTTCTCCTCAAGGTCGTGCACTCGTACGCCGGCATCGGACTCACGGTGCTGCTGCTGGCCACCGTGATCAACGGCACTTACAACAGGTGGTGGACCAATATCGGCGCGGGCGAGACCGGGCGCGATCTCGTGTTCGCCTCGCTGTTCTTCGCCGGACTGCTGGTGCTGTTCAAGCCGATAATCGGCGCAGCGGCGAGGACTCGAGTACTCATGAAGCCGAGGCCTGCTGCCAATAAGGTGGTGGCGCCGGTCAAAGATACCGCCGATAGTACTTGATTCGTGTGCCGCGATGTTATTCGATTTTTATTTTTTTTTCATTCATTCCAAGGTGCTGTTTTTTCGAAGAATTTACAACGACACATTCAAGAAACCACGAGTTGTAGTTTTTTTTTTTTTTTCAGGTATAATTCATTTTTCGTTACACTAACACGAGAAAAGAAAAACGTTCGAAGCTGTGCTACATACACGTAGAGAGATTAAAAAAAAGAAGACGCGAACTGAATAAATAGAGCGTTTTTATATCGAATTTAAGTCCTAACTCGTCGTCCTATTAGTGGAGGCGAGATGATCAAATATCCAAAGATGATTATCAATTGAGCAGTATAGATACCAATAAAATAATTATATATAGTTGCTGGAATAATTGTAATAACGACCGTTAAAAGACAAGTATGTACCGTTTACGATTTAAAACTTTATTGAACCTGATATAAATGCTCGGCATTGATGATTGCCCTGAAAATTACCATTTAAGATGTTTTTAAATACATTATCATTGATTAGGTTGTTTATGGTGATTTTTTTGTTGTTGCGATTATATTATCATTATTAAGAAGACTGTTAATGCCATGAAAATCATAATTTAACGTAAATGCGATAATTTCACTTTTTGTCTTCAACACTAGGTGGCAAGTACCTTTCCCTGTAAATCTGCAAGTAGTAAAGGCAAAATAATTGTATAAGTCAAAGCAAGCTTTTGAAAAATTAAATGTTTCATTAATTCTTCATCAAGAACCTTTTTTAATGGTCTAAAACTAGCCATTAAATGTTGAGCATTTCTACCAGGCACAATGGCCATTCTTTTGGAGAACATAAAGTTATGTACATAATAAGCATAATATATCTGGGAAACGTATTAAGGAGGTGAGTGCCTTAAATAAATTTGAAAAAAGCATGTATATCGTCAACCATATATCAACACTTTATTATTCTTACACGCATCATTATTACATACAAGTAGAGTTTAACGGATACAAATGAAATCAACACAAATTATCGTAGCAATCGTCCGTTAAAATAAATTTAGCTTCTTTTTTTGTATAATTGCGATCAGCCTCGCTCAATTTTGACTCTGTTTACTTTTTTTTGTACGATATAATATATCAAACTAACTTTGAGTTTGCCTCAAAAACAACGTAACAACGTTTACACACATATTCCATTACACACAGATCTGTATCTAATTTTTTTTAATGTCGGTATAGTATTATCAACGAAATTTTTGCGGTACAATATTTATTCAATTTATAATCTTTTGAATAGAATATTACATTAACGATTCATTTTTTTTTGGAAGGGTCACGTGCAGTTATTACATAAATCGATATTGTAATCTTAAGACTTCAATGCGGGAGATTAAAAACAAATATAAACCAGGACCAGTTGTTATCGAATAATTTTGTAAAATCTTTTTATATCTACTTTTGTAATTTTAAATAAAGCTTTTTAATACCTTATAATTCATGCACATTCATAGATACAAATTAAATGAAGCAACATCTCACTCATTATGCAATTCTAAACATTTTTAAAAGAATCGCATCGCAATCCTCAAAATTATATTACATCCATGTTTTTCCTTTCGTAAGCCAAATATTTTTCATTTAAATAATTAGATAAATAAATTATTCGTATAAAAATGTATACGAAGTTGATTTTTTTAAAACTGATCAAAAGTTATATATTTTTTTGTATGCTTCACAAGCTGCACTCTCCAACTTGTAAATTTTCCAAACGTAAAAGTTAACATTCGGCACTTTGTGTCAAAAATAGTACGTGCAACCTTATTACATAGTTGGAATTCGATCGAGCGTCAATTTCGTCGCCCCGAGCTACGCTCGACAGTGACAAATCGACTTATACTTTTCATATGGTACATAATACTTATATTACCCACTTGTTTCATTGATTCGATGGCACTTTGATTCTAAAGCATACTTTTTTTCGCACAACTATAATAAATATATATAAACCAGATCTGATATTCTTTACATGTTATATTATATATAATTTTGCATTTTTTTCTTTATCTTTGAATACTATCTTAGGTACAGAATCAAGGGCACTATATATTTAAGGTATTACTTAAAAAACATTAATTACTAAACTCCATTCAGATATTCGACTTGCTGTAAAATAACTTTGGTTATAAGGCAATTCTATGTTACTCCGATTCTTGACTCATACTTTTTTTATAGGACACATAACTTTGTACTGTCTGCTCTATATTTTGATGGCTTACTTAATAAGCTCAGAATACTTATAACCTACCATACACATCATCGGGAGATCGACTGTTATAATTTTTTGAATATTTTTTTGTGTTTACTTTTATCGTTAAAACTAGGTACATTTTTCACTTTTCTCTCGTTTACTTTTTATAATTATATGAAAATTTTACCAGAACCAGCTTGAAAAATCTTCACGTCCGAAGAAAATATTTAACTTGTTTTGCTCACCGACCGACATATAGCTCATGTATTTCACTACTCTTTACAAAACTCTCTCGATTTCTTAAAAAGTAAATTTTTCAACTCTCTCAATTTATCATCGCCGCTCAAGTGCTCTTCATTTATCAATATTTTCATTATATAGTACAGTTGTATCGATTGAAATTTTACGCAGTTTGGTAAAAATAGCTCATTTAACTGTATACTGTGTCTTTCCGAATTCTCGTAATATTTTTGAAACTTTTCCTTTTGCCGAATCTTGGATTTTGCGTTTATGTTTCTGAGAGGTATACACACAGCTCAGCGTCATTCAGTATCTAAATCAGTCGCTCTTCTTATATAATTATACACATTTCGCCGCGAGGAACATATCTATAACTTTGTATCTTTTATCAAGTCACTTCTTTGTTCGAAACCTATATATTATTTACAAGCACGTTTATACGCATGACCTACGGATGTAGACACGAATATTTTTATTTACTCGTGCGATAAATAAACTTTTTAAAATTTTCAACACATTTCTTTCATGAATAACGCGAAGTGATTGAACTTTTCTGCTCGAGTTTAAAATACTTTCTATTTCTATTTACTTAATATTAGCATTATAATTACATTATTATTCACACTGACACTTTATTTTCTTTCTACAATTTTTTTTCAGTAACAAGAGGCCTGATTCTTTTTCACAGGTTTTCTCACAGGTTATAATATATGTATATTATTTATACGTGTAAGTACATCAATCACAATGCACTTGACAATTATTATGGCTTCTGACGGATACCTCGCAGCTTTATTCCTGTTTGTGTATCTATATTTCTTTAGAAACAGGATTATTATTTTCAATTCCAATTTCATTAATAACTATGGTATATATTACATGGAACGAATCATTCGAAGAAACAAAATAATTTAGATTTAAAGTAAGACGTAAAGAGAATTTTTTTAGCGTATCGCTGATTCGGGTCGAAACGATTAAATAAACTTTAATAACAGAACTTTGATCAAAAGTTGATTTGATGTACCACTTCGTTCAAAATTTTCAGGTCCAAATCCATTCATCTTTTCCATAGTATGTAAAAATCTAATTAATTATTGTAAAACTAAATGTATATTATTTTTCTTCAAATACTCATCTAAGTATTTTCAATACAAAACATCGTAGATTGTAGAAACTTCTTTAAGTATTCAAAGGGAACAAAATTTTCGTATCAATATACAAAAGAACCTATTAAAAGTTAAAATTTCGTTTAAAAAAGTATTAATGTTAGTTTGCGATGTCAGTCACAATACGTGTACAAAGAGAATATTTAAACTCTCGATGAAAAAATACATCTACCTCTTTCTGTCTTCTATGAGTATTAAGCAAAAATATTTTCAGTTTTCTTACTTTTTATTTTGAAGGTGAAGTGTAATAAGATACGATTATTGTTATTTATTTCAAATGGAATGCATCGACAAAAATAGGTGTTTTATGTAGGTTTTCACCAAATCTGATATTGAAAGATCTTTTGATATATAATGTAATTGATTTATCTTTTTGGATTTTCACTCATAGTAAAAAAGTTCATTTTTAACTGATTAGAAATGGAAATGAGGTCGTGTAGTGATTAGTTTCTTCGACTAAGTTATTTAAGATTCTCCAAAAAAACTACAAAGTTCGATGGTATGTACGATATTCCTTAGTGAATTTTTTAATAAACTATTTTGAAGCAATGTTTAAAAGTTTTTGAAGGCGTCATTAGATTGCATAAATATAATTTTCATCGGATAATGTTTCGTTTAATTACTATTAATTTTGAAGAATTTCATGTGAAACAGAAGAACGCCTAGCAGATATGGTGTGCCGGAATACTTAAAAAAAAAACTTAAACCAATTGACTCATTTTTAATCACCTCGAAAATATTACAATTTTTATTGCTTGTAATATATGGTCGATTTTGTTCCATTATAACTTCAAATGAAAGAAAAGAAATTAATTATTCGAAAGCTAAAAGATAGTTTACCTAAATTTTAGATCAGCATAAATTTTTATGATTGATTGAAACTTTCATGCCAATTATTTTCAAAAGAGCGGCGTAATTGTAATAAAAGTATCTGTATCTATTCAAAGAATAATGAATAGTGCTAATATTTCTTTTACAATATAAAATATTAACCAAAATATTACAATTATATGTTCTCAAAGAAAATTACATTTTAATGCTTCTTATTGACTATGGGGGGACATTCAACATCTTTCAAACTTGCAATACTTTTACTTGAGCTTGTATTTGATGATTCATTTAAGCGAATGTTAAAAAATAATTGTAGAATTTTACAGCACAGCTGAGTGATAAATAGATTATGCTTTGGATCAAACTTTGATATAAATCTTTGTCATTGTAACATCGTAATTGAATACATTATAATTAAATAGTGTAATCTTCTTGCCTGCAAGTTCCATGACTCCAATACTTTCAACTTCACAAAAATAAAGTATCAAAATTTTTAAAATTATTGTTTCAAATTTCCTTTGTCTTCAGGCTTACCAGAACCTGAAACTTTTCTGGTACTTTTATACAATACGCAGTATTTACAGATTCTTTAAATAGAAAACCTATCAAATGATATTTTACATTCTTGTCTTGAATAAATAATTACATTAATTAAATAAATTTTTCAATTAGTTCGATAGTGCAGTGTAAATATAATTACTTGTTCACAGGATATTTTCTCAAAGCTTTCATAATAATGAGATAAATAACGAGAAAATAATGAAATTTTCTTTAATTTTGTCGCAAAATATTTTTATAAGAATAAGTAATTTTAAATATCACTAATGACTTGTGCAATTAATATAGTTTCAAGAAATTTTTCGGTTTATAACTATTCTTGCATTTTTATTTTGGAATTTTCGACTGAAAATTAGAATCTTATTCAGTGCTCTTATCCTCCGCAGTTTTCGTATTTCTTTAATTTAAAATAATTAAGAAATACCGAATCAATTTTCAGCACTCGAAAGCGATGCACATAATTGGGAGTCAGAAAGAATATCGAAGCTTATATTTTCCCAATCGCACACGTTAAATAATATGGTAATCATTAAGAGTTATATAATATAGCATAGATTCACAGCTAAATATTTGTAAATTTTTAATCTATTTATTTGATTGACCTTAGGTAAGTGATAACTTATATGATACTCATGAACACTAGTTTGCCCGTAATTTAACTGTTAACTCGAATGCGTCAATCGAACGTCTAATAAATTTTCCCCCAGTAACCTGATCTCGCGCTGTGATTGCTGCGCAGTATATCGCAAAATAATGTGTAGTAATTTTTCTGGCAAGTTGCTTATTAATTAAGTGTTGACTTTGCCTTCCAGTTTCATAATTTTTCATCTTTTTTTTCTCAATTTGGCAGGCTACTTTATTTGTTATCATTTTGTTTGTTATCTCGCGCGTTAATTAATTTTCTTATCGATTAAATTTTGTCAAGTTTTTTTTTCAGATTTATCATCTTCGGGAGAGAAAACAAAAATTACGAAAACAGTAGAGAGCAGAATATTAAATAAGACTCCAATATTGATTTTTCGTCCGATAATAAAAGGCATGAATTAAAATATTTAGAGAGGGTGTTTTCGTTTGTAACCCAAGTATACCCTAGTTCAAGTTGGAAAAAAATATCAATGGCTTTTCTCATTTGAAATATTGAGTTATTAGCCATAATAATCGACAGTTAAAAATAACAAAAAATAAAAAGAAGTTCATTCGAATAATTTCAGCATCTTAATATCAATAATTAACTTTTTTTTTTAATATAGTAGTACTACATACGAACACACATAATTTTTCCCCTTTAACTTCTTCCTCGGTGGCAAAATATTTTGTTTTTTTTCTTATGTATATAATAAGTTATTATATCGCTTAACATCGAAACACGCGGACACAGGTTTTATTTTGTTGCATTCCGGAATAACAGGGTTGAGGATTGAGGGGGACTATTAGGGTCAGTATTATTTTCGAGGTCGAGCTTCTTCCCCTGCGAGGATCCCTTTTTTAATAATAATCCTGTCACACCTGTTGCGAGGTGACGAGGTCGGTCTTGCTCGAGTTCTTCAGTATCGACGGGCCGGGCAGCTTTTGCGACGAGGCGCTCTGGTGCAGCGTTATCGGCTCGCCGTTGACCAGCAGCAGGGTGTTGGTTACGGAGTCGTAGCCGCACTGCGCTCCTGCGGATATCGTGGGAACTTCGCATTTTGAATTAATCGGACAATCACACTCAGATGGGCGATCAATTGTTGTTTTTTTTTTATTGTACAAGTGTATATAATTGTATTATTCGGTGCACTTTGTGTGTTTATTGTTTTTGTTGTTGTTTAGATTTAATATTAGATAATAAGAACTGTCAAATTATTCAAATTGTTTAAATTGTAATAATTTCAATAAAATTAAGAAATTTATTATGTTGAGAATCTTGTAAATAAAAAATATATCGTTACATTTCTAAACTAAAAAAAAAAACAAAAAAATAATTATAGAGATAAACACTTTTAATTGAATTGAAAACTATGAAAATTGAATTTTTCGATGAGTCTAACTCATTAAATTTTTTAAATAAAATTATACTAAAGTATAAAAGAATAACTAATCTATATCTATTTATTAATTAACCATTAATTCAATATTTTTCATCTAAATCCTGTTCTAAAATATATCTATCTTTTATTCTCATAAAATATTAAGAGATAATATCAAAATTATATCTTAAAAAAAAAGAAAAGTTTAAAAAAAACGTCTTCAATAATTATTTAAACCCCTCCCCCTCCCCCATGTATTTAATTTATGATCTAAAATTGTATTTGTTTTAAGAATGTAACTGTACTGTAGTTTTTTTAATGCTCGGTCGAATGATAACTACTGATTCATGCTTTAAAATCAATCTACGTCGTTCACTAAAAAATTTGATCGCTACTGCAAATTGAAATGATTCTTTATTAATTACACAAGTGCAACGTGTAAATTTTCTTCGATCAAAACAGAACAAATACAAATTAAATTGAAGAAAAAAATACTTTTTTCTAGTAAAACGTACCTAGAAAATTGAATCAAATCATTTATTTATTCAAATTACCTGGAGACGGAGTATGGGGCAACGTTCTCGAAGGTGTCAGTGGATTACGACCCGCTGGTCCCCAGTCCGGTGTCGGTTGCAGCAATTTTCTCGCTCTTCTCCAGAGGCCATTTCCGTTCCCTCTGAACTCGTCGTCGTCCTCCTCCTCTTCCTGATAGTCCGATCGATTTCTTTTGCCGACGCGCAACTGACTCTGTATAAGAAAAAAAAAATTCAATCGAGTTGGAAATTATCCAGAAACTACGGCTTCGAAGCATTTGTCGATGCCTCTTACGAAAAGTAGGAAGTTTATGTGTTAACTGAAATGTAAGTTTCCTACTTTTTGTAAGAGGCGTGGATAATAAAACTAACCACAGCCAAAACGATGATGACGATGACGGGCAGCAGTCCGACGACCCAGCCGACGACGTCGGCCCATCTCGGATAGACGTAGGAGCCGTAGCGCAGCGGCTCGTACTCGACCCAATTGAAGAACAGAATGAAGAAGAGCGCGGCGGGCGTCACCACCTTCCACATCCACTTCCAGAACATGCGCCAGCAGCGGCCGCGCACCCCGATCATCTGCTGGATGTCGTCCAGGAAGCGATCCGCCCCGTAGATCCAGGCCACGAGGATGCACTCGCTGATGGCGATCAGCAGCACCGACCAGTTGGCCGCGTACTTGTCCATCAGTTGTAACCAGTACATGCCGGCCTGCGATCGCAGTAATTTAATTTTTTTCAACTATTTCGAGGTTTTTTTTGTTTTTTTTTTTTTGGGAATATAAACTCACGTTCGTCGTAAAAATGAGTCCACCCGCGTAGCCGAAAACGGCGCAAGCCAGCACGACCCAGAATTTGAAATTCCTGAGGGCCGGTATGCCGTCGAGTATCGCCGTGGTGACCGTCTCCATGAGGGCGAACTGCGAGTCCAGACCCAGGGTGAGCAGCATGACGAAGAACAGCAGCGACCAGACCGGGGCGACGGGCAGCCTCGACACGACCTCGGGATAGACGATGAAGGCCAGGCCGGCGCCCTCGTCGACGACCGAGGCCACCGGCACGTCGAGCTCGTGCGCCAGAAAGCCGATCACCGAGAAGATGACGAGGCCGGCGAAGAACGAGGTGCCGATGTTGCTCACCGCCACGATCAGCGCGTCCTTGTAGCAGTTGTTGGTGAACTTGTTGTACGAGCTGAGAGTGATGAGGCCGCCCCAGGCCGGGCTCAGGGCGAAGAATATCTGCACGGCGGCGTCGCCCCAGACCTTGGCGTAGGCGAGCCGCTTCCAGTCGGGCGTCAGGTAGAACAGTATGCCCTCGTCGGCGCCGGGCAGCAGTATGCCGCGCGCGAACAGGGCGATCTGCGCGCGGTTGCGCGATGCGACGAAAACAGAGTTTAGTTTAGTTATACCGACGCTGCCTCGGGAATATTCACGCGAGAGGCTTAACTTTCGAAATTCTGCGGCGATAGATAATTTTTCGAAAAAGCCAAATATCAGTATGGACGTAAAAAACCACCAACCTTTCATTATTACATATTCACTCTAATTTACTTTATTACTTGCAGGTTTGCGGCGAAAGGTACTCGCCATCTAGCGGTGGAGGTTGGCTTTGATTTTGATCTAGTTTTCGTCAATTTTTTTTAACGATCAACGCAAAAACTATATCAGTATTAAAACTTTATTTCTTAAGAAAAAAGTTCAAATTTGGGTATATTATTAATTTTGTTATCATTCGTTATTGCATTTTTCATGTTTTTTATACACAAAAGTAAATCAACCTTGATAAATCAATTCCCAACAATGATTTCATATAGTAGTTCTTTTAATAAAATTCAGTACTGTTCGCTTTAATTTCAATGGCTGGTTTCACATTAAATCTACATTAAATTTTAGGCTTTTTTTAACGAGTTTAGCGCGACTTACCAAGACGACGTAAGGAAACAGCGCCGTGAAGTAGACGACTTTGCCGGAGCTCTGCACGCCCTTGCTCAGACAGAGAAAAACGATGACCCAGGCGAGCAGCAGACATCCGGCCATCTTCGGGCTGATCGTGCCCGTCTCCTCGATGCCGTGACTCAGACGCAACACATGATTACTGTACAACACATAGACAATAAAAAAAGAATGTATCATTGTAGTCGATCCATGAAAAAAAAAAATAATAATAATAAAATAAAATAAAAAACTCACTTGAAGTACTCCTCGGCCGGCGGTTTGCGCATGATGTGCGCGATCGACTCCACGGTGAGATTGTGGGCCATTATCTGCGTGGAATTGAGACACTCGCGATTGTAATAGGTGAGATTCTGACTGGCGCAGGCCAGAGCGGCCTCGGGCATGAAGCACTCCCTCGTGCTCCACTCGGGGGCGCACTTGCTCCAGGGCAGCTCGCCACCCCCTGTACGTACGTGCGTGCACGTGACGCGCGTCGCGGATATAGTCGATATTATTGAATTTTTCTTTCGTGTTTTTTTTTACTTCAATTTTTCAGATAACTTTACAGCATATTTCTTAATTGCATCTAGGATATACTTGCAAAAATTTCGACTACGATGTTACAAGAATCCATCGATAAAAAATGTCAATTTTCCACATTTTTTGAACATCGACGTTATTGCCTTCGGGTTATTATTAATGATGTAAAGTTATCCCCGCGTCTATCTTCAAATTTGTATACGTTACCTGCCACCGACGCAAACATGTAGAAGAGCGTCCACGCGATGATGAGATTGTAGTAGAGCATCACGACCGAGCTGACGAGCACCATTCCGTAGCCCAACCCACGCAGCAGCGGACAGAATCGTTTGTACGCGGCCACGGGACCCAGACTCGCGTATTGACCTATTGACATTATGCGGATAAATTACGCATTATACGTTGGTTCAAAGAGGGTTTAATTGTTTTTAATTTTACATTCACTGTATCAGGTTGTACAAGTGAAAAAATATTGTTTTGAAGAACACACAGAACAACTATTTTTCAATACCCAATTTTTTTAATTGTTAAAATTCTCCTAGATTATATTATTAATTTTTTCCATCAGTGAACTTCACTTTATTATACGTGCAAGTAGCAACAATTCATCTTATGTCTAGCTGCTTTTGATTGCGATAGGTACCTTAGATGTGTGTAATGGTTACATAGAAGGTCAGTAGACTTATACAGTTCTTAAGTATATCTGAAGTATTGAAAAGAGTTGCCATGTATGTTCTTCAACGAAAAAAAAAAATTATCTTCGCTTTTACAGCCTCTAACTGTAAATTTAGCGAATGCACTTACCGAGAGACAATTCCATGAACATGAGCGGCAGGCCAGCGATGATGAGCATGACGGTGAACGGTATGAGGAAGGCCCCGCCGCCGTTGCTGTAGCAGAGATAGGGAAAGCGCCAGACGTTGCCGAGGCCGACGCTGTAGCCGAGCAGCGACAGGAGAAAGTCGAATTTGCCGCTCCACGTGCCGCGCTCAGGGTGCTCGTCCTCGCCAGCCTGCAGCGGCGCCTGGCTGTTGGCCACCGAGTACTTGTCGTCGTTCTACAGAGTCGAGAGAAAATATTTCTCATTATTTTTCTTCCTTCATTTTTTTTTTGTTATCTATCAGTCATCGATTTTGAATATGTTAAATTTCCGTTAACAGTTGGTTCGTACACAACGACGAGCCTGAATTACGACCTTTCTCGACTTTTCACTTCAGCGGGTGTAGAGGCCTTTGTCAGAGTCAACAATTCGCATTACACATGTATCGCACACACAAGTACACAGAATATATATACAGTATATAATCGAGCTTTTATACTATACTACTGGTTTTGGCAAGCTCGACTACGAATGAATTGAATCCCGATACTATCGCGTAAATGCCATCTATTAGTAATTCTTCGTGTGTGTATAACACGCTGGTATTGGCCTACGTAGCTCGGGCTTTATCCGAAAGCTCGCAGGCGATATAATATACCACTCACGCGAATAAAAAGAACGTCCCCGTCTGTGTGTGTGTCCGTGTGCAGTGGATTACGTAACTGTGAAATATTAAAATATGTTCGCCGAAACTCCGAAGCGATTATCGCACGCTTCGCCTGTCATTATTTCATATACTATACCTACCGCGTACTATAATACCCGAGGCATGTGCAAAAATACCACTAGTAGTTGTTAAAAAAGGAAAAAAGAAAAAAATCAACAAGTCAATTGGGCGCGACCGAAAATAGATATTCGGATATAGGATATTACTATTTCGAGAGAGAGCGAGATAGCAGCTATTTCATTCATTATTTTCTCTTTTTTCGAATATTAAATATTTACGTGCTGTATAACCGCGAGCTGCAGAGCTTCGGCTACCCACGCGCGCGCGCTTCGCCAGAAAAGTTTTCTCGTTTTAATTAAGTGCGATGCCATACCAACGCCACCGCTATCCGAGGGACATGATATTTGAATTTTGCAACCAGAAAGTAAATAAATCGAACAAATATTAAAAAAAAAAGGGAGAAAAAAGCAAACAAACGAGGGAAAGGCAAAAAATGCAAATAAATCGGATTATCGTTCGTCATACTCTACTACGTGCGTGTGTGTGTGTGTGTGTGTGTGCAAGAATGCCATGGTATTTCCACGCGATTCGCGCGCAGTTGCGTGCTGCAAAGTACACATGAAATACATAGCAGAAAAGAATCTGCAGCAGCAGCAGCCCAGTATATAGTTACGCGCGATATAATATCGTAAATTTATGTGTCCGCGTTTATGTATGCGTACACGTACACACACAGAGAGGCAGTCATCCATCTGGCTCGAGACGACTATATACGTATGTATCCTCCGCGCGTCTCTCTCGCTCGCTGGGTGAAAAATCGATGGGCCAAGCCTCCCACCCCCGGCCCCATTCAAGATCACCAGCAGCAGCAGCAGTAGCGCATATAACGCTGGCTACAGGCGCTACTGGTGCCGCGCGCCGCGCGTTATACGGCACACACATGCCTCGCTCGCACATGAATAGCATACATCGCTGACACATACCAACATACAGCTGGTGGCTTTTACGCGCGCGCCTCAGGCACCGACAGAGAGAGAGAGAGAGAGAGAAAGTTACATTACTACTCTACATGTATGAAAGAGATGTATTATAAGATGATGTGAGTGCGCGAGGGAAAAACTTACATCCCAGCAGTCCAGATAAGGACGTATCCTCGGGGAGGTATCCTCCATCCTGTAGCCCTGGTTCTCCAGTTTGCCGGCTGTGTTCGTCTAACTTTGCCAATTGTTAAAACGATCCAACTTCACCCGCGTTAGCCCACTGTCTTGATACACGGCGTTGTTGAGGCTCTTGTTGATAAATGAGTCGGTTATTCTTCTTGTCGCTGTTGTTGTCGTTTGAATCGCTTCGAGCGTTAACGAGGCAGCAGCAGTAGTCGTTGCAATTGCATCAAGTATCGGCCGCGAAGGCGACGGCTTTGTACCTACACACACACAGCTCGGATAGCAATTGACGATGACGGTTATTATATCCACGCGTTGCCAACGGCAGCAGCATCGGTGCTGGTAGTGGTCGCGTACGAATCTCTTCTGCGTTTCATCGTGCGACGATAATAATCGATATCTCGTCGTTCGCCGTACTCGCCGCACATTGTGCTTCTCTTTGCTGCTGCTGCTGCTGCTGCTTTTCTCTACTCCGTTCTCTGGCCTATATAGCTTATTTATTACGGATAATTGCTGCTGTTCGTTGCGAAGAGGTAGAAAAAAGCTTCGATGTGTCTGCACCGTGTGTTATAACGAGTCGATACTCTCTACTTGTCGTTGTGCTACTAGTCGTCGACGATGATCCAACGACGACGATCGCTGCGGCAAACGAACCAATGACGATCCACCACTTATTGGCATAATAATAATTTCCATTCGCTTATGTAGGCCCTCCCGGGAAAAAGCCGAGGCCTTCGGTTCAAAGCATCGAGCTGTTGTGCGCTTTCGATTCGATACGATACGATTGTGTGTCGAACTCTTTCGTAGTTCCCTGTGATTGCGTGTGTGTATTTTTCACTCTTGCCCTACACTCACACACACTCACACACACACGCGCGTTTCCAGCGACAAAAAAAAAGAATCGCGCCAGGCGATCTTCTTCCTCTCCTCTCCGAGCGAGCAGCGACGAAATTTCAGTGATGCGAGTCAACGAATGGTCCGACAGTAGTAAATGTATTATAGACAAAGCAGTTAACTTTTCTTATTCGATGTGCTGTCTCTCCGCCGAGCAGAGATTCGACTCTTTTACTGTGTTATAAACGGTTCAAGTACAAGCGCGCGTGCGTTGGCAGACAGACCCGCTGTTGCCACGTCGAAAGCTCGAAGCCGACTGCGCTGCTGATAGCCACGCTCTGAACTCCGTGCGAAGCTTTTCCTCGGAGCGGCGGCGTCCCGCGCATCCATCCATCCACCCGCCCGAAGAAGCAAGAGCGAGCTAGCATCATGCAGAAGCTCAGAGAGATGGAAGAAGAGGGAAGAAGGGATCGATATTACTCTCTGCTCCTGAAACCTTGTATTTCTTTCTCTCACCCCCCACCTCCTCTGTATGGCTCGCGAGCCACCCGTCCACCCACTTTATACCTATATATACCCTCCATCCCTCCTCTCCCAACGCGCATATATCGTGGCTACTGCTTTATACACATATACATCTATAGCAAGCCTCTTCTTACATATACAGTTTCCTCGCTCGCTCGGGCGCAGCATCGCAACCTTTGCCTCAGTGGCGGCTATCATCCCGCGTGCATATGCATATGTACCAGCTGAGCCGCTGCTGCTGCTGCTGCTGCTGCTGTCGTCGAGACTCTGTTTTCTTGTTTCGCTGTTTTCTTTCTCGCGCCCCGTATATGCTCTAGCCGACACGATACGTGACCAGTACTAAATATCTCGACGAACTAATTTCAATGTAACTGATGATTATTACCCGGACCGGGTCGTCGTGTAAATATACACCGCGGGCACACGGTACATCGGGCACGAGGCACGTGCCGCAGCCGCAAATGATATTTCATCGTCGTATTATTATTCGCGTCTATCGGTATTATATTCATTATTATTATTATATACGCTTCGAAAGCACGTGTACCGCCGTCGCTGCCTATCGCAGCTGCAGCCTAGTGCGTTAGCTGCAGCTCTAGCAGCGCGGCGAGATGTGATTCGGCCACGTGTGTGTTTGCGAACCGCGGCAGCGGCAGAAAATAAACCATGAACTTTGTAGTGAGAGCGCGGACCGTATATACTGGCAACAACAAACACCTCGTCGATACGTAATATCGACGAAGCCTTATCGTTACGCGTTCGCGATTATAATGTATGCAATTGCGTATCGCGCTTAAAGATCGCGCCGGGATTCGTGGATTCGAGAGCTCCCCGGGTTTTCGCATAATGCTGCGCGCACTCTCGCTTTTATCCATACGGTATTAGTTTTGTTTTATTTACAGCCCGGGTGTCCAACACGCGCCGCGGCGGCCCTTACATTATATCATGATCCGCTGCTGGAGAGTTCGAGGTTTTTCGAAAATACGCGTAATAATGATGATTTTGCCCTCGTATATTTGCCTCGCACACGTGCACAGTGAGGATTTTGCCAGCTCTTTCTAGAAAAATCGCTGCGGTGCAACGATGCGAGCGATGAAAGAGATGCGAGCGAGGATAGCTACGCGATAGCGGCATTTTAAGCAAAATATTTTATGCTTATCTTAGATTCGCGATAAAAATCCTGAATGGACATTGGCGCGGCTGCTGCAGTAGCATATAATTCTTTTCGTTATAGATCTTTTCTTTTTTTTTTCTTTTTTTTTCTTTTTTTTTTTTCAATAAGGGCCGATGAGTTAAAGCACCGAATAAACGACGGATCGTTAACGAGGACATTTATGTATTCTTTATTTCTTTTTCTCTTTCATTGAATTGGCTCGAGCATTATGTATATGAGCTTGTATGCTTTTTGCGTGTGTGTGCGCAGTGTATGAACGCGCTCGTGTTTATCGTTTTTTTTTTGTGTTGAAATGAATGCACATATATTTAGAGACGCGAGTCGTCTCTTGCATAAGGCATTAAATCCTCTCTCTATCTCTATCTTGGAGGCGGGCGGAGAACGTAACGTATATCCGAAAAGTATATAGCCACTGTGATTTATAAAGATTTAGGAGCCCTGAGACGTTCGTTAACGCCGTCGCATCGCTGGAAAATAGGCCGACGTCGAAATCTTATATTATTCCGCGCATCCCAATTGATAAATCATGAATAGATTCTTACTCTCTCTCTCTCTCGGCGTTCGATAATGGATGTTCAGGACTTCGGACGAGAGAGATAGATTAATGAGTTAGTTTTGCGATTCCCCTCGTCTGTGCTGCTGATGCGAAGCTCGACCGTCTCGCCTTAGAAAAGAAAACGAGGAAAATTCCGTACACACATATACATGTACACACGAAGAAAAAAGGAAAAGAGCTGTTACATTGACGCCAAGAAGGAATTTTCGCTGTATAGCACTTACGCTCTCTCTTTCTCTTTCCTTGGCTAGATTACGGACATGCGCGCGGGACACGATATTATATGCATGCCAAAAAAAAAAAAAAAAAACAAGAAGAAAATCTAGTCTCGTTTCCATCCGATTGAACAAACTACGTGGGGTACTTTGCAAAGTTTACTTCGCGCATAGGCACAGGGTTTTGAATGACCTCAAGGTTTCGCTCCAAACCTTATCTTATTTCTTTTTCATGGATTATATTAGTGCTGATCGATCACGCACTAAGTACGTAATAACGTCTATACATACGGTTCAATGACTATCTTTGGTATAATAGGGTACGTGCGAGAAAAAAAAAACAAGAAATTTTTATCGCAGGATGCAACAGAGTAGCCGCAGCTACAGCAGCAGCCGTAGTAGTGGTGATATATAAGAGCTCTAGCTCGAGCGTATGAGCGAGTAAGATAGAGAGAGAGAGAGAGAGAGAGAACAAGTACAGGGCCAAGGTGTATTGATCATTTTCAAATGTATATAGGCGCGTGGCACACACATCGGTAAGAGTTAACGGTTTGTTGCATTGCAGTTCTATACATACTACACACACGCACACACACAAACAGGTATATAATAGTGGCCGCGTGCATTATTATACATGCACACGTACATACGTGTGTGGAGCAGCGAAAGAGGCATTTTCTGACTGTACAAATTTGCTTTGGACTGGATGTGCGTGTTTACTGCTACAAATTATGCTGTATCCTGCGAATGAACCGACGATGTTGTCGGAGTCGAATTATTTCGTGTGCTTAAGACGTGAGAAATCGTATTACGTACGTATGCTGAATCGAAACTAGCGTTGAACCTCTTGTAAGATAAATGAAAAACAAACGATAATAAAGATCGTTTGTTCGACATCGTCCGCGTTCGAACTATTCAGTATTTTTTTTAACAATGAAATTTTATACGATTTCCTCTATCGATCATAATATAATAACGTCGTCTCTCGAAATCTTATACATGCCAACAGAGCGCGGAACAAGACGTAGCGAATTGACGCGAAGATTTTTTTCATTCCTGCAGATTCCAATGGACTCGATAAAGGAAAAAATGGAAAAAGAAAGAACTCGAGACATTCTCGAGAAAACGTCGAAAATGGACATCTTTCTGAAGGATATCTGTCTCTCTCTCTCTCTCTCTCTCTCTTTCTCTCTCTCTCTTTCTCTCCCTCTAGGCAATATATAGATTCATAAAAAGGAAGACAAAAAAAAGTTGACGACGACGTTGCATCGGTGCAAAAATTGATCGAACAAAGGCAATATATCAAGGTTGAAAAATTAATTTAGTCAAGAGTCGTTGATGTCGCACGATGCACACTGGTACACTCACTCGAAGTGGAAACTGCTTCGCTACTGCTGAAAGGGAAGAGAAGAGAACGACGATCGACGTCTACTACGGGCATTAACGACAAAAATCGAGTACCCATACTTTTGCCAAGTTTGCAAGAATAAACGCTCGGCTCGATTCTTTTATCGTCATTTTAATTAGTTACTTTTTTTTCCTCGTGCTACTGCAGCATCCTTTTACAACAAAATAGGGGAAAAAGGTGTATACAAAGGAGTATAGAGATGAAAAAGGCTTTTAGTAAAGAATAACGAGTCAGGAGTACACGTCCAAGAATAAATGTATAATTTAATTAATCCGACGACGAGATGATGCAAAATCGTATGCGAGCCAATGGAATCACGAGTGCGATGCTTTTTATTGATTTTTCTTTTCGTCCGAATGACTGGACGAAAATGAAATAAATTATTGATGTTATCCCCCGTAACCCTTTGCCTGATATATTATGCTGACGCCTTGTAACTCTATATAATACACATATCGTAGCAACTCGATGCTTTATCGAACAAAAAAAATATGTTCGACACGAGAACACACGGCGGGATCGAAGGTAATTGAGAAAATCGACTTGTGTCGCTTCGTGTGAGTGTGTCGGTGTGTACGAAATTTAAAAAAAAAGCGAGGGAAGGACTACTTACACACAATACATAGTAATCGATGATTTTCTTTTGTGCCTAATAACGAGTGAACGAGGAGGCTCCTAAGTGGGCAGAAGCAGCAAAGTAATTCAAAGTGAGCGCGAGAACCTCGCTGAGGTCGATGAAGAAGTGTTGATAAGACAAAAAATGAACCTCGACTTTGCTGGCCACTTTACACATCTTGTGTACTAAATACAGTACAGGATGGAGTAATATTTCGAGTACTCGTTATACTACATACCTACGTACTTAATAAATACGTTTCGTCTGCACGACGATTTTTTGGTAGAAGCATGATATATTAACAAACAAAAAAAAGATAAGAACAATATGCCGCATTGCCGCATTACCCGGAATTGGGTAATTAACAAAGTTTAATTATAAAAACGCGTACGCGCGCGTATAAACGTCGCTTGGAGGCTCAAAGGGGGCTTAAAATCGAAAAAAATTTTATTTTATTTTCGAATAGGATTTTTTGTCCCCCTTCCATTGCTTTTTTTGAAACTTCCAAATTTTGATCATTCTGTGAGATACAGCTGTTTCCCTGAGCCATTTTCGTATACTTTGCGTGTTAAATTTTTTCTTCTTTTGCGTTTTCTGGCGTTTTACGTTTTTACAAAGGGCAGTTCACTTGTCGTAACATTCAGAGCGTACCGATTGAGTGACAGAACCAGGGTCGCTTAACCTTCTTCAAAACATCAATGGTTACGGTCACAACCTCGGGCTTGCCGATCCGACCCTTGGGTCACCCTGCACAAAATCTGAAGCACAATTTTTTTTTCATTTTACGTTTTTTATTGTGACCTCCATCATAA